CATTCATTTCTGTAGCCTCTAGTGAGCCACGGTGACTGACTCAGATTCAACCATGTTATTCCTAGTTCTGATTGCAGCATAGTCTTTTAATGACTATTTTCAAAATGATGGTCTCGACAAACTCTGTTGAACTACTGCCTTTGAGATACTGACATTGGGGGCTTTTTTGTATTTTAGTCTTATTGGATAAAATTCATTTATACTTTAAAGTAGGAGACAACCTCTTGGGCATTCATATGCACTTTTAAATATAGGATATATAGTGGCTGCTTTTATTTTGCTTTAAGATAATGCAAATTATTTTATAGAACTTCACAGAAAATAGTGACAGAACAAACATAGTTAAATTTTGAAGTCTACAATTAGGCACTTAAGTATGTTTTGCAATGTAAAAAAATTACACGATACAGCTGTGAGACTTGTGTGCTGAGTAATCCCTGCAACTTCAACAGAGAATGATTTTGTCTCTGCATGGGACAGCTGGATCAGGCTCCCTGCTAACAAATGCCCCAGAAGTCAATCAGAACTCCTTGCCCCCAGGGATAAATGCTTTGGGAAGATCAAGTTTTACATCTTGTGCTGCAGTTGATTGCCGTTTTTACTGCTAATAACGCTGTCATTGAGTTCTGCGGCCTAATTAAGTTGGCCTCCTAATACACTGGTGATCCAAATTTATTACTGTGCTAACAAAGCAATATATCTCATCAGGTTTATATGGCAACTCCGTTGACTAAAAAAAAATGGAAGTGAAATACTTCCCATGTTTTTGTTATGTTTTTCTCCAAACTGTGTTCTACTATCCTGTGGATACTTTGCCTTTAAATATGATGAATAAAAAACTTGAACATGGATAATTGAGGCATGTATGTGAATATTTAAAAACACATTTTTGGTTTCCTGGAGATCATTGCAGAGCTTTTATTTAGAACGTGTTGTTTGGAATGCTTTTGTATAAACAGGTAAGCAAAAGGACAGGATATTTGTTAGTCTTTTGTGTATGAATATTCCCAGTACTGCATTTACCTTCTAATGGATTTGAAGACAGTTGTTCGTATTTATATTTTATAATTATAAATTAATAGCAATTTATTGCAATAATACAAAAAAGTTTTTATAATTCTCATACTACTTAGTGCTATGCAATAAAACTAAGCATATATTGTTTTATCATAAAGAATTTTTATCTGATAAAGTTGGTGTTTGTGAATTCTAAAGATTTAACTTGGATTGTCTGTGCATGTGTAAAATTCTCATTCATGAAGAGTCTTCTCCTTTTTTCTTTTTTCTATTGAATATTCAGAATACATAATAGAATAACAGAGTTGGAAGGGATCTTGGAGGTCTTCTAGTCCAACCCCTTGCTCAAGTAGGACATTCTATACCATTTCAGACAAATGGATGTCCAATCTCTTCTTTAAAAACTTTAAAACAGTGATGGAGCATTCACAACTTCTGAAGGCAAGCTTTTCTACAGATTAATTGTTCTCACTGTCAAGAAATTCCTCCTTATTTCTAGGATGCTTCTCTCCTTGATTAGTTTCCATCCATTGCTTTGAAGAATAGGTTTACCTCCCCCACCCCACCCTGTCATCTTTGTGACAGCCTCTGTGATATTGGAACATTGTTATCATGTCACCCCCAGTCCTTTTTTCCAGGGAATATGTAGAGAGACATCCACTGTTTTCTTGGCTATTAAGCTCAACTCAATTCTTGTGCATTCCACAAAACACAGCAATGCAATATGAGAAGCATTCCTCCCCTTTATGAAAGAAAGTATAATGCAGAGGATTACTAATGAATGAGAACGTTTTGACAATTTCTAGCAATGTTATCCTGTAGCAGAGGGGAATCAACACTGGACAAACTGTTTTCAAAGAAGCTTGTTTTTCATTACTAATTTTCTTGTTAAGGCACTCTTAATATCTGAACCAATTCCAGTTTTTGTTATTAAGCTTGAGTATTATGTAACTGTGTTTTATTGGGGTAAGTTGATGGATAATTGCTTTGTATGCCAAAATTCCAGATTCAATCCTTCATAGGGGCTAAAAAAGAACCTAGACTGAAAACTCAAAGAACTACTGTTTTTACAGCACTTTCAGACAAAGCCTCAAAATGACTATAGTGTGTTGAATTCGTCACAATTGACTGGGTTCACATAATATGCTATATGATCAATAGACAACAATGACTGGATTTACACAATACACTAAACCAAATTAAAATTAGCCACATTATGGCTTAGGATAATACATGAATTCAATATCAAGAATAATGAATTTGTGGGGCCCTTGCTCTAATCTGGTATAGATCTGCATCACTTAACTACTTCCCTTGAACATCAAAATATGTCATTCTGCTGTTTCCCAGACTGCTGATTTGCTTATCTACACAGCTGCAGCAATGATGTCATCATCATCTTTTATTTAGCCCAAGGGTGTCAAACTCGTGTTGTCAAGGCGGCATCACATGACGTATCGTGACTTTTTTCCACATCACTAAACCGGGTCTGCGCATGGCCAGCATGTGACGTATCCAGTCCACGGGCCGGGAATTTGACGGCCCTGCTTTAGCCTTAATGCACTGACTTCCTCTCCTATTCTTTGTAGATTAGATTAAATAATTACTCCCTTATACATGATATAATTAAATGGAATCCTTTTGTTCTATGTTTTACATTGCTTGTCATTTAAATAAATTTAAATTATGGGTGGAGTTTGCATGGGCTTGGATGCAATATATAACAAAATCTTCTTTGTGTCAACATTGCACTGAAATTGGGCTACATCTTAAATTGATAGGCTCAGTAGTATAGTTGCTTTAGTCAATTCCACTAAGTTGTACTTTCCATCACATTGATTTGATGCATTATTGTCTTCTGGCTTGGCTAGATTGAATACTAAGGAAAGTGAATCCACCAGAAAATGCAACAGCAAATAGAAGCAGACAATCAGCCTGATAAAGCTTTTTGTCTTTTCTGAGAATTCCAGATGCTGCCTCCAGTCTTCAGTCTTTGTATCATAATCTCTATAGGTCTGTTGGATGAGACAGTACTGGTGAAATCTGAAAAGAATGATCCCATGAAATAAGAGCACTGTGTTCCTAGTGCCACATTCTCAATATGCATAGAAGATGCTGCAACAAGAAATTGTATTTTAAAACATGCTACTTCAGCCCCCCCAGGACTGCAAAACTTGCCTGAAGCCCAGAGAGGAGCTAATCGTTTTAACGGAATTGGTTACAAGATAACTTGCTTATTTCCCTTTGGCTTTAAAAAAAAAGATCAGAGAAAGAGCATCAAGAGCAACATAATTAAGAGCAAGTTCATTTCTTGAGATGGTCATATTTTTTAGGACAGGAGCCTACATCCAAGGAAGAACAAAAATAGTTAAGGAGTGATATAAAAAGTAGTTTCTCTAGCATAGTAGACAGTAAATTAGAACTTTCCCACTTTCCTCTTTCCCAACTCACAGCACTCATATGCTGGCTGGGTTTGAAAACAGTTATTTCCAAACTCTGTTGGGTATGTACAGTATAAGGATAGTCTGTCAAGTTCTGCTAAATCAGGGCTTAAAACTCGCAGCCCGTGGGCTAGATGTGCTGGCCCTGCCCCATCTGGTTTAGCGAAGGGAAAAAAAGTCCAGATACGTCACGTGACGATGCCATAACAATGTTAGTTTGACACCCCTGTACTAAATAGTTTCTCATTAAGGTGCAAAAGTCATTTAAAAAGTTCTAATAATCATTTTGAATTTTGAATAGTTAAAATATTTCCTTCATCATGTGGATTTGTAAATGTGTTCTTGTTCGGCACCATTTTTGCCCTTCATTAAGAGCCATATAATATTTATTAAATTTATATTTTGCCAGCTTCATTCTTCTACTATCCATTAATGCTTTGAAACACTTCATTGAATGAAGTACAGCAGGGGTGTCAAACTCGATTTCATTGAGGGCTGCATCAGGGTTGTGTTTGATCTTGGGGTGGCAGTGTGGGTGTGGATGAGGTGGGTGTGGCCTGATCAATGTCACTTATGTCGGGGGCACCTGAGATGGCCAAGTGCTAAGGCAGGACTTCCCTTAGACCCTCCCTTACTCTCATTATAATCTTCCTTCCTTCCTTCCTTTCCCTTCCCTTCCCTTCTTTTTCCTTCCCCCTTCATTCTCCTTTCTTCTTCCTTCCCCTCTTTCCTTATTTTTCCTTCCTTGCTCTCTTTCCATCTTCCCATGTTTTTCTTTGTCTTTCCCTTTCTCCTTTCATGTCCCTTCTTGCATGCTCAAATGCAAAAGGGGAAACATTTCTCCTTTTTTATTTTTAGTTTCTTTTGCTAGCTCTCTACCAGTGAAACAGAGCTCCATTTTCGCTGGCAGAGGCACCACAGGCCAGTTCTTCATTGTTTCCAGATCAGTCCAGTGGGCCAATATCTAAGCACCCTGTGGTACAGATCCAGTCTATGAGCCTTAAGTTTGACATCCCTGAAGTACAGCAAAAGTGTAAAATTAGAGGGACATATGTAGGCCACAAAAGCTTTAAGTGCAATACTCTGACATTCCCAGAAGTTGCATCTAATTGTTACTTTTACTATGACAGAAATATAAAATTATCAAATACAAGAATATATTTAACAAGACATACCTACATAGACATCATGTTCTTTTTGAGGCAAGTAGAGTTATACAGTAGCATGGAAAAACTGCAAAAATAGTAAACAGAACAAATCAAAAGCAAGAGATAAGAAAGAAAAGAAAATCTTAATAAGGTTCATATTGACACCATTCAGTATATCCCTTATACCTTGCAGCTAAACATACATCAATTACTGAACACTTTTTTTCTTATCTTTCTTTTTTGAGGATCTCAACACTATTCNGAAAATATACCTAATGTGTATATACAATTTCATAACATTGTATTCTGATATTTCCAAAAAAGTTATGTTTTATTTAAAAAAGAAGAAGCTGGACAGTTTTAAAGAACCTGCTTTCCCCTCATGTTTTGTCAGTCAAAAAATGGATGAAGATGAAACAACTAACATTTTTAGGCATTCCTGTTTTCTTTGGATCAGGCCAAATCAAACATCTTGGTAAAAGGTAAGGAAGACATTACAATACAGCAGAGCTGAACAGGAATTCTAAGGTAGGGAATTTTAATAGTAACACTTCAGGATAATGTGAAAGAAGGATATGCTTTGGGTAACATCTTGGAGACTGCTGCCACATTAGGTGGATTAATATATAATCCAGTAAAATGAATCAGTTTATTTCATTCATTTACATTTGATTTTGTTGTTGACTTTTTATGTAAGGGCAGTATGTTCTCACTGTATTTTTTTGTGGACATCCATAGTTACAGATTTATGGTGATGGAAAGATTAGGAGAAGATCTTCAAACTGTCTTTGAAAGAGAAGGGAGAAAATTTGACAAGGAAACTGTTCTGCAGATTGGGATGCAGGTGGTAGGTATAAAACAGAGTAAACTTTGGATGGGGATCAATGGACTTTTTGAGTCTTGCATATGCATTTTTAAATGTTTAATTTTGCTTGAAAGAATGACTACAATGAAGGACTTTCTCCATCCTTCCTCTGGTGTAATAATTTGAAGCTAATTAAAACTTGAGCTGAGCGCCTGCATTTCATATTTAAAAGATTTTTTTAGTCTATCATGCCTTACATATTTTTTTATTACTTGAAATCTAAAAATTGGCTATTAGTCTCTACTCGTTCCTTTTAAGTGATTATTCAAAGTATACTACCAAAGTATTATGCATTTTCGTAAGCTTGACAATTGACTCACAGTTATGATCATAGCAGCATCCTGGGGTCATTTGATCTCCTTTTGCAATCTTCTGACAAGCAAAGCCAATTGGTAAACCAGATTCACTTAACTGAACTACTAACTTAAAAACTGCAATGATTAACTGTTGCAAGAAAAGTCGTAAAATGGGGCAAAATTCACTTAACAAATAATTTAGTTTAGCAACAGAAATTTTGAGCTCAATGGTCAATTGTAAGTTGAAGACTACCTGTAATATTTTCCTTCATGTATTTAATAAAACTTGTTAAGTCTTTAAATAATATTGTGGGGATGGTTGTAATATAAATGCAATTACTGGTTTCCTTTGTAATACAGTCTTTTCTTGCCCACTAGCTAGATGTCTTGGAATATATTCATGAAAATGAATATGTGCATGGGGATATTAAAGCAGCAAATTTACTTTTGGACTACAAAAATTCATATGAGGTAAATAAATTGTTAAATGTTCTTCGATTTTTCAAAAAATCAGGATGGTTGCTTAAACTGCATGCATTGTTGCTAAGGAGAAGAAAGCATGAGAGGTTTGTGTTCTTATTCAGATGAAATTGACAGTCGTTTACAAACTTATTTTGTGTAATAGCTCATTGAAGTGATTTGTTACCAAAACTTTATAAAACATCTGAATCTTTCATGTCTTTAAGAATTAGATGTTTATATATGTGAAGGAAATTGCTCTATGTGCTCATTTTATTCATATACAGGTGAAACTCGAAAAATTAGAATATCGTGCAAAAGTGCATTTATTTCAGTAATGCAACTTAAAAGGTGAAACTAATATACAAGATAGACTCATTACATGNTGCCCAATGTTCAAGTTTGTCAGGAGTGACTGGGGTTTGTCAAGATTCTTCTGTATCTTAAGCCTATCTTAAGATGAATACTAGTGCTTCTTCATTGGACAATATTTTCATGAAGCATGGGACAGAAGTTATGCAAAAGGACTAATTAGACTTGGGGTGAATTTCAGTGTCCCATTGGAAGTTTCCTATTGTAAGATAAAGAAAGGAAAATATGGATATAGCTAATATGGGATTGAGAAATACTTACTTCTACTCAGAAGGCTTAACATATAGGAGTTCTGGATTCTAAATCAAGATTCTTAATTTTTTTTTCTAGATCTGTGGTGTTCAACTCCCAGAATTATCCAGCCAGCATAATCTTGGTTGAAAGTGGTGGGAAGTGAACTCCATGTATCTAATCACATCCATCTTAGGAAAAGCTGTCTTAAATTATGTGCGTGGGGAAATCTGCAGTTCCAAGTTTGTTCTAGTCCATTCACTGAATAAATTGAAGTCAAACTGGTGACTTCCTGGCATGTTACTTTAAATCTTGTAAAAACAAGAATAATATTAATGATAGAACTTTATCACATATTATGAAGAAAACAATAAAATATTACATTATTTGATTTATAGTCAAATTCTTGTTAAAGAAATTTTTTCCAGCTTTTAATATTTGTGCAGGAATATAATTGCATCATATCTTGTTGAATTGAAATTCAGTTCTAGATAAAGTGGCTCAAGTCTTCCATAACTTTCTCTGCCTTAATTTTATCTTGCAGCTTCCCCTTATCTTGATGTTCCTGTAGAAAACAATGCTGTGTATGTCATTAAAGTGGTAATTATTACAATTTTAAAAATACTGCCTTTTTATTGTTTCTAATCCAATGGAATTGCATGATTTCCTTACATTTTTATTTGTTTATTTGAAATGAGTGTACTCTTTTAGACAAAAGATTCACAGATCATCTTAGGGCAAGACAATCCTTGCTCTATCAATCACAGTCTTAAGAAATGATCAAAGGAAGGAAAAAGAAAATTAGAAAAGTTAGCATGAGATATTACCCTGATTCTGGAATTCTTTCCAAACTTAACTAACAGTTATTATAGGAGGTATCAGTATTGTTTTGTTGGTGATCTTGCCTTTTGATGAGGACTTTTGTGTTTTAGCTGTCTTCTTGTGTTACATCTGTATATGTTTTGTGGGTCAGGTGCCAAAAACAAGAAAGACACAGTAATTCTTCCAACAATTTCTTTATTGTTCCTCACCTATAGATAGCATCTTGCCAAACTAAGGCAGACTACTACCTACATGAACATTTACTTTGGGAACTGTTAGGAAAAGGCCATCTTCACCCTTTTCCTCTCACACAAACTATCTGAACTGAGTTGGTCTCTTGTTCCTCTGGAATGCAGACCTTTCCTCCTGGGAATCCATCCTATCACATCCCATCACATGATGTGTGGATTGGAAAGCATACAGTGAGCTTTGTATGCTCTGTTCTGAATCTTGTGACCAGAAAAAAAACAACACTTAGAATGGAGTACTCTGTAATATTCCAATCCACTTCCCAACTAGAGATGGAGATAGTTTTTTTAAATAACTATAGCCTCCAGCTTGTTCCACCCATTTGTGCATTCCGTCTTTCTTTTGCTAGCTTCTACCGAATCTGGCTCTGCCGTGTTTAGGTTTTGGAGTTACTGTGCAATAGATAGACAGGCAGAGTTTGAGCAACTTTACTTAGTGTCTTTCCAATTTTGTTTGGATTGGGGGAAAAATAATGGTATATTTAATTAAAATAGTCTTTTAAAAATTACATTGGAAGTTTATCTTAATCTCCTTAGTACAATACTGAAATCTTTCCTATTTATTATTAAGAAGTCAGGAATACCTGACTCCTTATGCTTTTCTCCATGTCCTGAAAGTTAACACAACAGAAATTACGAATTTCCTAGAAGGACCATTCAGGGCAAAATCACTCTCTCAAAAGATGTTTGTTATCAAAAGTCTCCCATACCAGTGATTTCTTTCCTTTTTGAAAATTCTGTAATGTATAATTGGAAGGTATTATCCGCACGTGGATTACGCAGAAAACATAGAAAATATTTTTTTTTATGATCCAGACAAAAGGTCTGCTTTACAAAATTCTGACAGACTGTTTCAAGCCAAGCATAGTTAAGCAGAATTGGAGCCTGGGATGCCTTGGTGGTTCTAGATTTCAAATAAAAAAAATCTAGATGGGGTGACTAGACAAAGCTGATGTGTGTTGTCCTTTCTTCTCATCATATTTAATCAAGCTCCTCCTCTTAGCATTTTCCCTATTTATGTGTAAGACTCAATTATGTGTGACACATAATTACATTGAAACTTTGTGTTTTTTTACATATATCTGTTTAGGAATATCTTGAAAATGGGCCCTTATTTTCAGAACTGAAATTCTACCAACGTGCTGCAAAAGAAGAACATAGTAAGTCAGGCAACAAAAGTGTCCTATTTCAAGTAATAATATTTTTTCAGGAATAATAGTTTGGGAATAATCACTTATGAAAATTTAATTTTATTTCAGTGTTACTTTTAGAAAATATACCTAATGTGTATATACAATTTCATAACATTGTATTCTGATATTTCCAAAAAAGTTATGTTTTATTTAAAAAAGAAGAAGCTGNACCCTTACCACTCTCCCGGCCTTCCGTAAAGCCACCAAGACCTGGCTGTTCCGGCAGGCCTGGGGCTGTTGATCAATATCCAGCTCCACTTAGACAGAATGGATGATGTGTAATTTTAATAATTGTATCTTTTACCTTAAATTTTAAATGTTTTTTTTATCTTGCCTGTAAGCCGCCCAGAGTCCCAAGGGAGTGGGTGGCATACAAATTTTATTAAATTGAAATTGAAATTGAAATTGAAAATCCTATCATAAATGTATGAAGTTGATTTTTCTCATTGTATGTAAGTGGCATAAGATACAAATAAGATATTAAGAGGTCAGTTTGTATAGCTTAGGTTTTTGTCCTTGGACTACTGTTTTGCTGTAATTTTGCTTCTTACCCCCCCCCTCCATTTAATTATGTCCAGTAGTTGGAGATTTACCTGGACAAGTTCCTGTGGTTTTCTTGGCAAGGTTTTTCAGAAGTGGCTTGCATTGCCTTCTTCCTGGGGCTGAGAGAAAGTGACTTGGCCAAGGTCACCTAGTTGGCTTTGTGCCCAAGGCAGGACTAGAACTCACTTTGTCCTGATTTCTAATGTTGGAAGTTAAAACCCTAGAGAACCCTAGATTTCTCCTAGAGAAATGAAATATTTTGTGAAATATTAAAAAGGCAGAATATATCCCCTAAAAAGAGAAGTAGAAACTCAAGAGAGGCAGAAACTCAACTGCTCCCATCTTTGTGAATGAGCCATTAAGGCCTGAATCAGTCTATTCTACATAACAAAGATCTACCACCTTCAGCTCCAGAGTGATGGGATTAAGGCATGGGCCTCAGAACATGATAGTATTAGCCATTTACCCATCTCACCACAAGCCTGAGAGACAGCTGACAAAGTTGCCCCTGCACCTCCCTCTGGGAATCTGACCACCAATCAGAATGCATTTCTTACACAGAAACAGGAAGCTCTGGGGTAGGGCCCAGAGATGGCATAAAACCAGGGACTTTCAGCATCTCTTCCATTTTCTGCTCAGGATCTCAAGCCATGTGATCCTGTCCACCATTAAACCATCTTTCCAANTACTACTACTACTACTACTACTACTACTACTACTACTACTACTACTACTACTACTACTACTACTACTACTACAACAACAACAACAACAACAACAACAACAACAACAACATATCTCTTAGGTGACATGTTCATACCAGTATGCTTTTCTAAACATACTCAACTCTTTTTGAGTGTGTCTGTACATTGTATGCATCTGCTAATTGATGGGCTGCAGGCAATAGTGGACTGTCGTCGTTATTGTTTTGATGCTTTTGGGTCAGCATTGACTCCTTGACAAGTCCTGTAGTTTTCTTGGCAAGATTTCAGAAGTGGTTTGCCTTGCCTCCTTCCTAGGGCTGGCCCAAGATCATTTAGCTGACTACAAGCCTAAGGCAGGAATAGAATTCAATTTCTTGAGTTTTAATCATATGCCTTACTCCTTATCTACTGTACCAAAGTCCTCTCAGTGCATTGGTTTGCAAGGTATTATTTAGAGATCCTTGCTTGTATGAAAGAGTGTCAACTCTGGGCTTTGGTTGCACATGCAACAGGCAGCCCAAGTTTTGTCATAACTGATCATACTGTCTATATCAGTCACAAGAAATGATGTATGCTGTGCAGGCAGCTATGACTAAGGTAATCTAATGTACTTTTCTCTTAATTGCTTATATTGTCTTGTATTAATTTAATGTTGAATGAAAGGAAATTAAATTACATTTTTATCCTGGTTCTTCATCTTTGCACTGTTATTTGAAGAATAACCTTTAAAACACCATTATAGCTTAGCCTGGTTAGAGATGCACGTCTGTGATTTAAAGGAGCATACATTTTATTTACGTATTTATGTATGTATTTATTTATTAGTTTGTGAAACATGTACAAAATAGCAGGTATAAGTATGAATATGGACATGGACAAAGGAAATGAATACAAGTAAA